AAACTTCACAATGAAAGGTAGATTAGTAAAAGAAATTGCACAACAATAGCAGTTACGGAGCTAGCACACAACATATCTGGTGTCAGGAAATGTGTCTGTCGTATTCCTCTATATATCAACAAATACTACAGCCGGTCCGCACGATTCTGTATGCCGATCGACAAGGTGAAAATTGTTGTGTACATAATACAGCACCACTCCATTTCTTTCATTATTTTACAGCATTCCGTGTTGCTTCAACATTCAACTTCACATGATGCATAGTTTAGCACGAGCTGTTTGTTCTTTCATTTCTGTATCATAGGCGGTTTACTGACTTATTACTTTTCCCAAGGAAGCCAAGAAGGAACATGTCTTAACCCTATGCCATGTGTAATTCAGCCTAGCAAGCTCTTGTCATAAAGTTTCAATGTTTTAAAACTGGACTCAAATAAACACGTTTCTGGATATGAATAGAACATTTTTACATGAGGTGGACTTTTCGCTCGATTACCACCCGCTGTAAAAAAAAAAAAAAAAACAAAAAAAACAAAAACGAGCTAATATTACAATCCTCCCCTAAACATCTCTTCTTTAGGTGGTGTAGGAACTGGACTCGACGAAGCGGGGAAAATCGAGGCGTGGATAAAAGAGGGTGAAAATCAGACAAATAACCCAAGCGACAGGTGAAGGTGTGATCTCTCAACTGCTGGGTTGAATAACAATTTTCTTACTTGTGAGAAGAATCGATATTAGTCAGTTCATCCTTGTGTCTCGTTTTCAGTGCCTCAATCGTGGACAACAATTGCTCTCGCTCAAGTTCTAAACGGCGGACCTGGATAAAGGTAAAGTTTACCCATAAGTATTCGTGAAATGGATAAAAAAAAAAATCAAGGTACAATGTACAAAGATTTATAAGTGCATGTCCATAACCATTGTTTCGCTCATTAAATTTTTTCTTTGGTGACGTTCTTGTTGCCATTGCCGTCATGGTTTGTTTAAGCTCCTGAGTGGCTAATCAAAACGAACGTACACAACATAGACAACCAATAGCTTCAAACCAACAACTGCCTTGTAGTACATAAAGGTAGCAGGTGCAAGTTTTTTTACAGCAGCAACAGAGAAGAGTTATGAAAAACCCATCAGTTAAATAAAAGAGAGAAATCTCACCTTTCCTTCTAACTCTGACACCTTACTCGTGGCGTCCAAGTCCTTCTTGTGCCTGATGCCCTCCATCTCCTGTACTTTCTTCATCAGCTCTTTCACTTCTTCCTCAAGCCGCATCTTCTGCTGTTCGCGGTGTTCACTTGTCACCTCATACTCCATCAATCGACTCTGCTGCAGCTCACTCTCAGCTTTCAGCTTTGTCATTTCGAGTCTTTCCAGCGATGTTGGTTGAGGGATCTGGGGCGATGATTGAAATCCAGCAGGGGACTGGTACTGAGGTTGGTAGGAAAGGGTCTGGGGTAGATTGTGGCCGGTAGGCAAAGCGAAAGGAGAAGATTGGTACTGAGGATACGATTGATGAGTGTATGGCTGGGCTCCCATTTGCGGTGGAATGTTGCCCTGAGGGGAGATGGGACTGGCTGTATATGGCTGCTGTGATGGATATTCCTGTGGATGGGGAGGGCCGAGTTGTACTGGAACTGACTGCGGGGGTGGTACATGTGATACTGCAGTAGGTGTTGAAGCAGGAGGAACGACACTGGCCTGTGCAGGGTACAGCTGTGATCCAGGCTGAACTTGTACTGGAGGTCGATTAACCGGTTGCTGTTCAGTTCCAGGTCTTGGTGTGTCCTGATTAATAGATGCTTGGCGTTTACCTTGCATACCTCTCCTTCTAGCTTCCTCGTTATCTAAGGGACCACCCTCACCCTGACCCTGCTGCGGCCTGTCTAGCGGACCTCCCTGACCAGCTGCCAGCTGCTGCCTGTCAAGGGGACCCTCCTGTCCAGCTGTTGGCTGTGGCTTATGCACAGGACCACCCTGACTAGGTGCAGGATCTGGTGTATCCAGCGAACTTTGTGGACTCGCCTGATCACGCCACCGTCTTCCTCTCCTTGGACTGCCTCCTGGTGACTCCCATGGGAAAGATGACGACCTGACAAATCAATCAATCAATCAATCAATCAATTAGCCAATTAGTCAGTCAGTCAATCAATGGGCAGTCAGTCAGTCAGTCAGTCAATTTATCAGTGAGTCAGGCAGCCAATTAGTCTATCGGTCACCGCTTCGAGAATGAGGCCATGAACGAGCATTTGCCATGAACCTCCACTTTAGGGTAAGCATGACAGGGAAAACGCGCACTTTCGCTGAAAATCCTACTTGCTTATAAACTTACTTGCCGCTGTCATCAGCTGACTCCACCTGTTTTGGCTTATGAGGCTCGTCAGCAGTGATTCCCAGCATGCGTAAGAACTCATCATTATCACCGTCCCCCCGGCGCCGGCCGGCCCTTCTTGGCGGAGACGCTTGCCTCTCTTGACGTTCCGGGGGAGCTGAACTCGGATAAATGACATAACGTTAAAGGGTTGTGGAAAACGAACAGGAATGGAAAAAGAAGTGTTACGCAAGCAACTTGTAACAATGAAAGGAAAAACATGCATGTACCTTGTGTGCTTGGCGACTCCTTTGTGCTCTCTCTGGGAAACGGTGTGTTTGTTTTGAGGGGAACTTTATTTAGATCCAGGCCTCCATCGTCATCGCCACCACCCAGTCCTAACCAGTCTCCCCCGCCGCCGCCGCCTCCACCACTTGGTTTTGATCCTGAAGACAAGAACACAGTGACATCAAAAGATAAAGCAAACGACGTTGAAAGGAGGGGCTCTTTCCTTGAGGTAATCAGAAAACTCCAATATATGTCTAAAGTAAAGTGCGTTACTAGGAATTCAAGACGCACCGATTTTCTAGTAGACATTTAAAATCATTTCTCATCATTTCTCCTGTAATATTGTTCGCACCTTAAATAAAAATAAATCGAAAAAGGGCGATGCACTGCCTACATTTTTTGCGTTCCCAATTTATCTAGCCGTATTAAACGTGTCAAACCATATTAGGTCAGTTATAAGCTTTTTCGATTCGCGAGAGTTTTCAAGGTTTCTGTGGTTAAATCGCAGAATTTTTCTTATCATTGTCTGTCTGTCTCCGTGCTGTGAGGCGTCAATTCGATGTTGATATCAATAGGGAGGCGCCTCATGGAGCCTGGCCAGAGCTCTTGTGTTCAGTCCTTTACCCATGCCTCCATGCCCCCGGACATTGAAATGGGTGCTGACGAATCATGGACTGACCTGACAAAATGCGGGAGGAAACCTGCGATGGTCTAGCATTCCATCCAGGGGAGGGAAAGTACAATATTCCTAGCCCCTGCAAGCTCAGCAGGCTGGAGTTTTAAAGTTCCAGCTCTGATGAGCTACTGGGTTGCCCCCAGGAGCGTAGCTATCGGGGGGGGTCCTGTCCAACTTCTGGTTTCTCGATTCTCACGCTAAGAACAATACCACGGCAACTGGAAGTGCTTTTTACGTACAGAAACGAACAAGACTTTATCTGTTCTGATGAAAATATAGCATAAATTTATTTAAGCTACTCTTTTTTTTTATCTTTTTCGATTAATAAAGCTCCCACTGAACTAAGGGAGCCGTAAATAAGTAAGCCACATTAATCCCTTCATTTAATCAGTTTTTTATTTCAGCAAGAGTTCTGACTGCGTGTAGTCATTAGTATACGCAGAAGGTGCCGTTTATCGATGATAGCAACAATGAATGTTCTGAACCATAGCATAGTATGGCTGGTTCTACGATCACTGTGATACGCGACTTCTGAACCAAGACATTTTCCGCAGTATGTCCATGATAGCGTGTCGAATGTGTCTCATCTTCCAGCAGTAAATTACTGGGTTCAAAGATGAGTTGAGGCACATTACCGTCCACGAATAAAGCAAAATTCTTTTAAATTCGATATTGGGACCACCGATGTTATGAACGACCAAACTGATAGTGAAAGGCAAATAACAAACCAAAAACACAATGTATACGTAGAAGGTACCGACCGCAGATTTAATAAGGCTAACAAAATTGCCATTTCGCTGTTCTCTGCAACTTGCTGAACTTGCAGGGACTGAATCTGATTCCTGTGGCGTTGTACTGCTACATAAATTCTGATGTAGGCCACTGTTGTAAGGAGAAGACCAATAACTCCAAGAAATAAAATAATAAGTGAGTAGATATCGGGCGGAATCCAGAACACCATCAAGGGAAAAAACACACTAAGCAGCCATATTGAGATCACCCCGGCAACAACACGCTTGTGAGTCACAAGTTCCTGATATCTGAGATGAAGGTGAATAGCTAGGAGCCCGTCTACACTTAGAGCCACAACACTCAAGAAAGAGGCCAAGGAAAACACACTTATAATGAATATAAATACCATATAGATGTTACAGCCGGGATTGTTTTGTTGTAACCATTTTACCAGAAGTGTGGCGTAAAAAGGCTGCCCCAACAAACCAACACCAAGATCAGAAACAGCAAGACTCACGAGCAATGTTTTCAAAGTCCTTGGTAACGACGAAGTTTTTCTTATAGCCTGGATTGTCACAATATTCAACATGATGGCGGTATAGGAAAGAAAAATATTCACGACACAATTACCAATGTAAGTTAAACGGAGGTCTGCAAATTCGATTACTTTGGGGAAGGTCTGCAGCAGCAATTCACAAGCTGATTTCTTCATCGTCTCCGCAGAAGTTTCTTCTAGTGACCGAGCGTTTCACATAAATTTTACCAAGCTAAAACAGTTTCCTTTCCCAACGACACAAACCACTGGGTTCCCTTAAGCTAACATGAGTAGTTCTTCTTGATTAAAGTCATAACCCTTAGTAAACGAAGTCTTTCCGCAACAAGTCAATTCAGATGTCATGTTGTCACCCGCCACTTCAGACATCTTGTTGTCATAAAATAAAGTTAATACTAGTTCTTCCTAATTAAGCCATAACACTAAGTAAACGAAGTATTTCCGCAACAAGTCAATTCAGATGTTCTGTTGTCATAAAACACAGTTAAAACTGACAGTAAGTGAATCGTGATGAAGAATTAATACGTGGGTCTTGAACTTTCTAATAATTGATTACAATAAAACCAAGACATAAACGTCAATGGCGCGACAGCCGGGTTTGTTAAACGAGCAATGTGTTTCCAAAAAACATAAGGAAAACTGGCCCGAAATTGGACATTTCAAAGGTGATAATTGAAATTTCGTTAAGGATGTTACCGAACGAAGACCCTTAGCTACATGCTTGAACAAAAATAAGTCAGCACGTGCACATGAATATTTCCCATGTTCAAAAATAAGGCAAAACGAAACAGGTGTCTTTAAAAAGTCGTTTCGTTGCTAGTCAATGGTGCACCTACAAATTGCTTTCAGTTTCAAGGGCCCAGCATGTGGAGCGCACAACGAACTCTCCATCACCAAGTGTCGGTGATAGCTTTACCAAACAGTAATGAATTGTTTGAGGATCAGCACTACATGAAGAACACTTGTTATAAATAATAAATAAATAATAAAGATTGTTTTTAGCACTTTAACCCTTTGCTTCGTCATAACGATGAAAACGTCATTACTAAATAGCGCACCTTTTGTACTATGATCACATCCGGTTTATCAATCCAGACCACCATGACAATTGTTTAACAAACTCAGCGACTCGAATAGCGACCTAAACTATAAGCCGCCTAACACGAATATCGCTACTAAGACACTAATAAACTTAATGTTGGTCCCAGAGTCTCCCCGAGAACTGGTTACAAGTAGGAGAGATCAATGGTAACGAGACCATTTGAATTCATTCATTCATAGTTTTCTTAACGCGGTACAATAGACAGGACGAAGCAGACTAACGCACACAATGAATATTTCACGCTCTTTTCTGTTTCATTTCTAAACGTACTCATGCGCGAAGGCATAACTGTTCCTGGAGTCCCTGTTTTCGTCGAGCATTTGTTGGGAAATAATCCATGGTCCTTGTTGCGTTAGAGAAAATCACTTTATATATCTTTTTAAAGACAGAGCAAAATGAAATGATCGATATAAACATGGATGGCAATAGAATGCAACTTGTCATAACTGATAAAACAAAGACTTCATGTAAGTTACTCGAGTTGTGCTCTCGTTTGTTACACAAACTAATAAAACAACGTGCAATTAAAGAAAATCTTCGAATCGAAGGTATTTCTTGCCTTCAAAACAACAGTTTTACTACGATATAAAAACTTTTTGAGAATGATAAATTATCTGAGTTTGCTGTCAAATTAAAATAAAACTGCTGTTTGTATTTATGTCGGTCTACAATTGCTGATCACATTTCAACCAAGGAAAAGATATAAACGTCACTGGCCTGACAGCGGGGTTTATTAAACAGGTGATATTTTGGTAAAACAGGAAAAACTGTCCCAAAATTCGACTTTTCAGACGTGGTAAATGAGATATCTTTAAGGATTCCACCAAACGAAGATCCTTTAATAGCTACATACTTGGTAAAAAACTGAGTTTGCACGTGGATAGGAACAATGTCCGTACTTAATAAATACCAATCTCGTTCCCAGAGTCTTCGTTCCCCTTGACCAGCGTTCGGAAAACGAGAGCTCTGGGAGCAACCATTTTGAAATAACCGAATTGTGCCCATCGGTTTCACTGCGCAGTCTGCATTTATGGCGCAGGCCTGAAATGGTTGCTCCCAGAGCTCTCGTTTTCCGACCGCTGGTCAAGGGGAACGAAGACTCTGGGAACGAGATTGAATAAATACCGAAGTATAAAATAGTTAGCAAATCCGCGCTATCAAACTCGGTATACAAAACCTCCCAGGTTTCTTTCGCACTCTCCGAACTTCCCTCGTGCACCACAACTGAAACATGAATCAATTACATGCCAATTGTCATAAAGATCAAACAAAACGAAAATGTTAAAAAAAAAAACCGAAACGAAACTGCAGTTTCATTCGCACGCGTGGACATAGCTCAAGCGCAGCTCAAAACTTCTACGCATGCGTTCGTTTGGCTCGTCACGAGCTCTATTTCGACGAAGGCTCGTTTGGGACAAATGCACTACGAGCCAAAACAAACAACAACGATACCCAACACATTGCTCCTTGAGACGCTTTCAAAGCCAAACCGTCCGGTTATAAGACAAGTTCTATGATCTTCCTGTTTCAAGTGAATAGACTTAAGTAAAAACACCATTCAACTGAAGATCATTTCAGTAATAACAACACGTTTTCTGTTATCTTTCTTGAATCTGGCACGTGACGAGTGAGCGTGTCATATTTCGAAAGAACTCTTAACTGTCACGAATAAAACACTAAACACCAATTGCAAAGCGGGAACTTTTAACCCTATCTTTTGGTACCTCTCCCCCGAAAAGGAAGCGTTGCGCTACAAAGACGATCAAAACTAGACTAAAGACTTCCAGCTGTCAAGTTTATGTAATGCAATTGAAAACAACGATTATATAGCCCGTAAAACAGCTTTTCATTCACAAGAAAGAAAATAATATAGCTTGAAAATTCCCTATTGTTCTTATCTATGTGACAAATTTATTCCAGGCATTTACAATACCTTTTCCCGTTCTTCTAACATAAAACTACCATTAAACTAAAGCGTGTCTGAAATTACTGAGCAATATCAATCCCTCATTTAGATGGACAGCTTGAAATACAGCTCAACATTTCGCATTTTCATCCGCAAGATTTGAGTTCTTTGTTTCGAAATTTCCACTGG